CACTTCGTGGACTCAAGCCTCCTCTCTACACAGGAGCCCGGTAGGGGATTTAGGACTCGGGTTGGTCACCTTCCCAGCTCGGCAGCTTTCGCACGTCGGGAAGTCAATTTTAGTTGCCATTTTCAAACCAAAACTTGGGGTTTTGGCGTTGATGGATTGCACCTCTGATCCGTGGAACTCATAATCGCTCTGTTAGGTTGTGTTATCGCAACACGTGGTTTGCCAATGCTTGTTTGGCTTTGATGTGTGTATGCTCAAGATTCAGATGAGATCATTTGGCGCACATGCTGGTTTAATATTTCTCAGCCTCACAACATTTGTGATGTTTTGTGGAACAAACTTGATGCCCTTTGCTGGGGTATTGTTGGGCTTGAAAAATTGCAAACATTTTGAAATTGCACAAACAAGACCACTTGCCCAACCCATGAATGGATGCGAAGGACATTAACAAAATGGCACGGATGGTCTTTCAAGGTGCTCATCTTTTCTTCGGACGTGCGCCCTTCCTTCGAATCCGGTCGATGCGTCGATTCAGGCAGGATGGCAGCGTTCTCCCAGCAGACCAGTGCTGTCAGGGACTTGGGGACTTGGCACCCACTTCGCCACGAGGTCTTCGAAGTCTTTGAATCAAATTGGAAGACTCGTTTCGCAGGGTTCGTTGAACCATCTCCATCTTCGCATTAAAAGGGGAATGTCAGGTTCTCTGACAATTCTGACACGACTATTGCGATTGTTTAAGACTTGTGGAAGAGCTCTTGAAAGGGCAGCCAAAAACACGAATCTTTTTGTTTTCATTCTGATCTTGGAGCCTGGTTTGTGACTATATATGGTAGTGTATTAGACCGGTCATGTCTTTCTCATGTGGTATATTGCATGTTTGTGTGACATATGCTTCTTCTGTAGCATACAATCCCTAGAGTACCCCACGAAGTGGAAGGTTCTTTTTTGGGCTTGACGTGGACGTGTTTGCAAGTGTTGTGTTAAACTGTCTCGCTTTCGCAGTCCGCGAGTTGGCTGCTTTCTGCCTGATGCACACCATGGTTTTTCCAACGATGGACGGGGACCGGTGGCACCACCGTCGTCGCTTGGACCCCTTTCTCCAGCGCCGAAGAGGCTGGCGGAGGTCCGTGATCGGTCCCTGCGCTGCGGAGCCGTGCTGGATGCGGCAAGCCTGGGCGGTGGAAACGGTCCCAGCTGGTCCCAGCTTTGGAGGGCTGTCCGAAGAAGCGAAGTGAGCTGGGATCTGTGGGACAGAAAGATCAACATCCTTGGGACAGAACTCTTGAATTACTGGAGCAGAAGTAAGACATGGACGTCCAATGGAAGCATCCAACCCCGAGCATCAGTTTGTGCTGCAGGTTCAACGGCTACTCCGGGATGGCCCTCTGCAAAATGCGGAGGTGCCAGTCTTACGGGGTGCTTTTAGCTGTCTCATCGGCGTCTCACCGGAGGATGACGAGTGACTATATAGGCATGCTTGTGAATGTTTGGGGTTTGCGGTGCTGACGAACAGTTCCTTCATCATTTTTACAGTTTGTTTAAAAAAAAACATGGTGGAGCCACTGTTCTTTGTGTCTATGAAACGCAGTTCAGAGAGATCTGTATAGATTTGGACCAAAGTGGAGGTTCAATGGTGTGCCACGGCACATGGTGAGTTCCTATTGTTCTGCTGGACATTCCAACGAAAAAACAGTCGAATCTCGGTGAGTTCCGGGTGTGGGGGCCAAATCCTCGGAGCGCGACTCCCGTTTTCAACCCGTTTTCCTTAGGAGGGGGCCATTTGCGCGGCTGCGCTGTCCAGGTGGTCTCTTTTCCTCCGTCGGACGGGGGGGGGGGGGGGGGGTCAGGAGGGTCTGAAAGCAAGGCATTTCAACTGGCATTGGGCAATCAGGCAGTTGGGGTTTGGACTGCCATGTGCCCCGAACAAATCATGGTTGGAGCACTTCAGCAGTTCCGGTTGAGAGACTCATGCCCAGACTGTCATCTCTTCGACTGGATCAACTCAGAAACGGCCAAGTGCAGATTTTTGTGGATTTTGGGGCCCAGACTGTCAGCCTCCAGCAGCGACTTCGTCGCTGCTTTACCGCGTTTCAGGCAACGGCTGTGGGCCGGGCGCCCGAGGCGAATTGGTTCAGCCGCCCCGTGAGCAGTCCTGCGCTGAGGAGGAGGCGCTCCAGTTGCTGGTGAAGAATGAGTTCTTGAAGGAGACTGCAGGAGCTGAATGGGCTGAAATGGACTCTGATGGGTGGCCACTTTCGCAAGTAGGTGGTCAATGGTAGTCAATGGTAGCGCGGAAAGGCTATTTTCAAGCCTTTCCTTTTCGACACGCACACACACACACACATGCACATGTCAGCAGGATCATGTTAGAGTTTTTACGTTCTATTTTCTGTTATTCTGGATCTCGCGAGGGCTCAATGCTGGCATCAATGCATGCCGAGCGGGGTTTCAATGGGAGTAGCGACCTCAGCGCTGGCACATGGCACAGTGTCAACTGTCTTTTCTTCCAACTGCTTTTGGCAGTCGGAAGTGTCAACTTGCAAGAAGTCCCAGAAGTCCCGCCATGTACAGGGAGGCTTTTGCCTCCGCAGCATTTCCGGCTTTTGCCTTCTCCGTCTTGTTGTTCCTTCGTGGATGATGCCACTGTCAGAGCGGTTTTTCACTGTCAGAGCTGTCATCCCATGGTCCATTGGGTCCATTCGGTCTGAACAAGGGGCCGAGGAAGGAACGGATTTGGGCCTCTTCTTCAAGCTGCACAATGAACATTCATTGGGAGGACACCATCGGACAACCACCTGGGAGGTCCTACAAGGTGCTGAAAGGTCTGTTGAGGACGGACATGAATCGATTCTAGATAGAACATGGATGTGGTTCCGGGCTTCCGGGGCTGAAAGGGGGATGCTGTTCTATGACCCCGGCATCTTGCTCAGCTGCTTATGGGAGCCCACATGACTCCTTGCTTTGCAAGTGTAAGCTGCACTGAGAGACACAAGTGCATAGTATAAATGGAGGGGGGGCAACACTTAATCCCTCACTCTGTTTAGCTCAAGCCCCTTATTTTGCTTTTCCCACCCACATGGCTTGCGATGAAAGACATCAGAAGCGGCCCAATGACATTGACACAGAGCTTCTGAAGCTACCAAAAGGTCTCAGTGACCTGTGATCGCTCAGGCCGTGGCGCGGGTGCAGATACATCGGAACCCTGTGTTGCACTTCCAAAAAGTGCACCACAAAGAACTAGTGACTAGCCATATTTAGCCCATGAGTTGAGGGCCCAGTCCAATGCCTTGGTCATTTTGAGGCTTGCCTTGCATTTAGCTGCAGAAGCTAGCGCGACGTGGGACGTGGAGCACTCAAAACATTCATGGACTCTGGACATCTTCTCCGGAAGTAAGACGGAGAACCTTTGTTAGGCCCACAGCAGGCTCAAGCTGTGTTGTCTACGATTAGTCCATTGTTTTTCTCCTTTTTCTCCCACCATCGCAACAAAGGGCATCTCCATCATACTCACAGGAGCGTGACCATTCCTTTCCTTTTGAAGTACCGTGAGGCTGTGACTTACTCCATGCTTTTAGCAGCATGCAGCCGAGGCTGGGAAGGGGTCTGCCAATTCGTCTCAGAATTGGATTTCCAAAGCAGGACCTGTATTATACACATATAGTATCATCTGAAAAACACATTCCTTTCGGTATGTTTGAAACTTTTCAAAGACTTGACTCTTTCTTTTTGTTGGGGACCACACTCTCGTGAAACATGTCCCAACCAGCGACTCGCTCCAGGCAGCCGCGCAGACCGATCCTTTTCTTCCGATGCGCTCCCTCGCAGGCAGCTCGTGGGAACTCGCGCTGGAGTTCTTGCGAAATGCTGCCCACGTTGGGTTTGGGGCTCCCAGACAGGTGTATATATATATATATATAGCATAGAAGGCTCTTTCCTTAATGGAACAGTTTCTCAAATCTCTATCTAAACGTGCTGGCCACCATCGAAGGCCTTGTACTATCGGTTGGTTGATGAATAGAGGCGATATCATCCTCGGTCGTGAACAACCAAGTTCGGTCATGTGGTACCTGGCATCAACCCCTCAAAAAGGACATCACTGAAGTCTTGGCATCCCCAGGTCCCTCAGCACCTCTTTGGGGGTTCAAGGGATTTTTTCACGAATTGGCTTCGAAAGGGGACCGGATCCTCTTGTCCCTCGACCACTTCGACCGGGGCTCCCTTGCTTCGACCGACATCGACGGCCGCGTGTCCCTCCGCTCGGCTCCGAGGTTCGCCCGCTTGAGCCACGTGTCCAGCGCCGCCGCCAGCGCCTGTGGCAGGGCGTCGGCCTGGGCGGCGGCGCTGGCCCTGGCGGCGCGGGACCGCGACGAGGCGGGTCGGTGATGCGGGTTGATGCTGGGCGGACGTGGACTTCTAGTGATGGCCTTGGTCAGTGATGGTGATGGGGTGATTTTAGTCTGATCTGAGAGAGTGAACAGCTTTGAGCACGTTTCCTGGACATGGCCTGGCACTTCATTCCATCCAAAGGCAGTTCTGGCTGCAGCGATTGATGCCTGCCGGCGAGCTCAACAGTGGGAGGCCACGAATTGCTGGAGATGTTGCCAGTGTTGCCGATGTGGTGAGGTAGGCAGGTAGGTTGCCTTGGCTTGGTGGAGACCCAGTGCGCGTTTCACTGTTGGCAACCAGCTCACAGAAGTTTCTCTTGTGTCCATCCCACATGTTCAGCTCAGAATGGTAGAGAATGTGAGAACCAGGAACCACTTTCGATTTCTTCACAGAAGAAAGAGCCAAGGCCCCAAGGCAACCTGCCTTTCTATCATTTCTATTTCTATTTCTTCATTTCTCCCTTTTACAGAAGGTTGTCCTCTCTGTCTGGGAGGCCGCCCTGGCGCTCTTTGGCACGCTGAAAAGCAGCGGCCACAGGTCGGCAGCGGGCGCCGGGGCAGTTGGAGGCTCAGGCAGAAGGTAGCTATTGGTGAATGAATCGAAGCATGGGGAAGCAGAGCATCACCGTTTCTTTGGCTCAAGCCACTGTCTGAAGTGAGGATCCAGTATCTGATCCGAGGTCCACAGTGATGTCGGAAGCAGCGAGTGTCTCGAATCTCTCCAACACGAGCAGTCGCTCCGAGCATATGGCCTACCTCATGAACGACTTGAACTTGGATCGTGCCACAGCCGCGTTGATGTACCGTGCTGAGCGGCTGCAGGAGAAGGGTCAGCTCCAACAGGCACTGCGATATTTTGAACGTGTCCTGGCGAACCACCAGGATTGCCAGGAAGCCGCAGTGAATGCCCGCATGATCAGAGAGCAGCTCGCCGATGCACCACGCTTGGAACCAGTGCAGGAGGAGGCAAGGGATGCAGAGGCCGCGCCGAAGCTTCAGACTGCCAACATGCCTCTAACGGTGATCCGCCAGGACTCTGAAAAGTGGGATGTTTATTGGACCGAGTCCGAGCTCCGGGATGCGGTGTTGGGAGAGGCAAATCGAAAGTTGCAGAAGGTTGGCATCGTGACTCCCTTCTTGGAGATCGTCAGCATGGACATCGAGACGTACACGCCATCTGTCCATGATGATCCGTGGATGGATACAAGGTACACGTGCCGCGCGGTGGTGCGCGCCACTTTCCCTCCACAAATGGTGGTGGGAGCTTCAAGCCATGCTTCAAACGAGCAGCCTGCTGCTGCCGCTGCTGAGGCATTGCTGGCCCGGCTCGCTGGGGCCGGTGCAGCCACGCAGGCCACGGCGCCGCGCGCCGCTGGGGAGCCGGACCAGGAACCATCGGTGTGCGAAAGTGGCAAGAATCGTACAGCTCCAGCTGGCTCGGCGCCATCTCAGCCGCCAGAGCCGGCGCCACCTCAGACCTGTGCGGCAGCTGCAGCTGCCGCAGGAGAAAGTGAGTCGGTGCGAAGCTCTGGGAGCCGTCACTCCTCGGTTCATTCATGAATATTCATGATGTTCCTCTCGGAGAGGTTGGGCTTCTCAGGCTTTGAGACGTGAAGTCGGAGCTGCCTTGATACCACAGCCATCGATTGGAGATGGCAGTGGCTATGAATGCGCAGATTTTTTGAGATATGATTGATGGCGCCTCGGAAAAAGACCGATTGATGGACAGGGAGAATCGTTGCCATTCCACAACCACCACGAAGACACACGAGTTTCGAAGGTGGCCTCGCCTCTGTTTGGACGCGCAGATTTTGGCAGACTTCCCACGCCCGAGCGCACCCCCCCCCCGCGTGCTCCCCCGCGCGCCCGAGGCCGTGTCGGCCCTTGCACACGGCAGCCGCTGGGAGGAGGTGTGTCCAACTTTTCCAATGGTCGATCGTGACAGGGGACATGGACATGGACCTCGTTGGGTGGGTTGATTCTGTTTTTGTTTTTTGGTGGGGTCATGTGGCTTTCCTCCCCTGTCCGAGGACAAGGTCGTACTTGGGCCTCATGATTCTTGGCCCCATTTTCTTTGCAAAGACGACCCTGTTCTTGTCAGCTCGTGGTTTGGGGTCCTGCTTCTGTCACAATTACGGTGCGATCCTTGGGCCCCCCCCAATGCCTCGCATGCCACACGCATTCTTGCTTCGCTTTCACACACGCTCGTGTGACCGTTCAATGAAGTCTTTGTTGGAAAACAAACAGTTTGTTCCAGCCCTTGGTCACAGCAGGGTCCGCGTTCAGCCCCCGTAGCCCCCTCTTGCCCCCGGTTGCCGTAGCCGCTGAGCACTTCGCTGCACCTCGAAGAAGGCCCTTCACTTGTTCGAGTCAGAGTTCCAGCTCCAGGAGGCCGCGTGCCCGGTGAAACACCAGCTGTTGAGACGCCCCAGGTGGGGGGTCAGTCTGCCAACAGGAGTGCGTTGAGGTGTAATGATCATTTCTTGGATTTCTCACGCTAAAGTACATGGATTTCTTGAGTCTGCAAGTACCCACAATCCCTCGCGATTGGGTTCCAAGGCCATGAACCCGGGCATCCGTGGCTTTGCGGCCGCGCTGCAGGCCTGCGCTGCAGGCCTGCGCTGGTTCAGCCCCTTTTGGGGGAACGGACTTTTTGGGCCTGCTTTTTGGACATCCTTTTTCCTCCACGGCGGAGCTTTGGGGATGTGGCTATGTATTTCTTAATGGGATTTAATCAGGAGGGTCTCCAACCAAAGGCTTTTTGTCTACTTTCCTTCTTCCAGGGGGTCTTTGGATGTCCTTCCATTCCAAACCACGCCTATGTGTCGTTCAGTTTTTCTTTCCACTTCGACTTACACCCTCACTGACCGGCTCGCTTCTGGCGGCTCGCTCGCTTCCTCATGGTCTCCGCACCGTCGCACGGTCGAAACGCACCGCAGGTGGCCACTGGCAGATCGTTTGGGCGTCCCAGCCCGATCGATTTCTTCCGGGGCGACCCGAGGCGTCGCGTCCGGAGCCGGTTCCGGAGCCGGAGAGAGCATCTCTGGCCGGACAGATCGGGTGAAGTTGGGTGATGTTGGGCGATGTTTGGTGTATTTTCCCCGGTGTCTTTGGGTTGGCCATTGATGGACAGGTCTGATTTTTGGACATCTTTGGATTGAGGTTGGGGTCAGAAGGGACGGAGAGCAAGAATGGCCCTGGCAATGCAGATCTTGTGGCACAGACAAGCAGCAACGGATATCCAAGAGTAGCTTTCGATGCCCTTCACAGTGAGGCCTTAAGCTTCTTGGAAGAGATCGAAAGGAGGTGGGACTGTAGGACACTTTTGGAGGGTTTCGCGAGAAGGAATGGCTGAAGATGTTTCTTTCGCACAGGCAGAACTGACTGAGTTTATGACAGACGAGCCTTACCAGACATTGACATTGACTAGGTTAACCCACCGGCGGTCTTGTTTGGATTAAGCGCCCACGAAGTCAGCCGAAGCGGTGCTTCCCCTAGTCGTCTCAAGAAAGGCATCCCACAGGTCAAAGACCTCTTTTTACTTGAGTTGCGGATACAAAAGCACTGACAATGCATCAATCATTGGATATCAAATCATTGAGGAGGGAATCGAGATAGTGCATGTACAGCCTTCGTCGTCAGTTGGAATAAGCCCATTCGGACAGCTCCCATGTCGCGCAAGGTCTTTGAATCAGCCTCGATTTCTCCAGCATCCCAGGGGTTACATTTCTGCCGTACACACTGTACTTCAAAGAGATTTTAATTGCTACCCTCGTGATGCAGGCAGCTTCCGCCAGACAAGCGCTGCTTCGACATTGCTTTGAGTGCCTATCGCAAGGCAAGAGAAAAGGTGTCAAGGCCATCACTTTGAGGCGCATTTTGCTGCAAACTTCTTTTTTTATGTTTGCTTGCCATCACTTTAAGGCGTCGCTTGCTGGGAGAGTGGGTTTGAGAGCTTCACACTAGAGTGTGGTGGCTTCACCATTCAAAGACCCACACACTTCTGGGGGGGCTGTGCGCGGTGCGAAGGTAAATCAAATTCACATCCTGTAGACGGTTGATTACATTTGGACTGTAAAGCCTCTGGATGGGGAGGGTTCTATTGATCAACAGTCAACATTCTCAGTCTAGCTTTGGCTGTTTGACCAGATGCCAACTCTGGTGGAGGGAGGGTGGACGTCGCCTCAGTGGAGGGAGGGGGCCGTATTGACACTCTCTCGACGGCGTTGTGACTGCGCACCTGTCTAAAGAAAACGAAGAAACGAGGCTTTCTTCACGAACCATTTTCTTATCGACATGACATCAGTGCATGATTTTGGTCCCGGTTTTTGTGGTCTCAGTCCGAGCACGAACATCCCACGTCAGGCAACGTTGCTCGGTCCACAGGTCATGTCCAGTTGACCCTCTAGGAGCTCTTGTCACCCGGCCGGCTCGGACGCGAGCTTCGTTGGATTGAAGCCGTCGTGCCGTGTTGCTTTCCCTTCGACTCAAGTTATAAGGCTCAAATGCTCCACATCACTGCTGTCAAGAGCTAACCGAGACTAGACCAGACCCAGACCCAGACCAGAGCTGGAGATCATCCATTGAGCAGTGACCAGTGGCTTGCCGCATTGGTTGCCGCATGTGGAGCCTCTAGTTGCGCAGCTGCAGGGGCCTCGAAATGGAAAGCGACACTGAAGAGGTTTTCGAGGTCAAGCCTGGCCATGTGACGCATGACGAAGTCTTTCATTGGGGATCAACTGGAAGATCAAGAGCTTCTTTTTTTGGATCGTTCTACTGTTCTTGAGCAGAAGCTTTGGTTTTCACAAATCTTTTTGGTGAGCTCCTGTGAGCGTGGTCAAAGTGCAAGGGTCTTGCATTCGTCCCCTTCGTTGGTCTTGCCATGCTTGGCTTAGAGTTGTAGAGGCTTAGACAGAACTCGAAATCATTCCAACGGAAGCTTTCCATTCCTCCAACAGCTGATGTAGGGCCATAATTATATGGACAGCCAATGGAGGATGGGCTTGGCGCCAGCGAGAGTTGATTACAGATGCCAGCAGAAAACTGTGGCAATGCTGTTGGCTCAGGTGCCGATGACCGGGCGAAGCCACATCAAGCGAAGCGTCCGGCAAGCTGCAGGTGGCCTAGCGAAAGATCCTAGCTTTGCCTGCGAAAAGATGAATGAGGGGGACCCGGCAATCAAAATCCCTAGAGCAGTTTGCAGGCTGAACATTTCCATGCTTTTGGGAGTGAATTGAGTTTGGGGTGTGGTTTCTATGAGGTGTGACAGTGATTTGGCATGATATATTCAATTTTGGTACGGGCATGGAGGTCTGTAGACCTCCAGCCTGGTCAGTGCTTTGGATGCCTGGTGATGTTGGATCTTGATCTTGAAATGAACATGCAGCG